GACCGGCTTTGCCACACCAGGCATGAATTGCCTCTTGTGGTTGGTTAGCCCGATAACCTTCACAGCACTATTACACCAGCGGCCAGCACCTCGCCAGGCAGGTCAGTATCACAGCATTCAATAGTCACCTCTGGGCAGTGCCACAAATGGTGGTCTTCCCTACAGAGAGGCGCATGGCACCTCCTGGCACTGTGAAAGCCAGCAGGGAGGAAGTTTTCAGATTAGCTCCAGCTTGATTTTTCTGGGTATTTTTGGTTTTGTGCCACATTTATAAAGTAATTTTCACTATATAGCTCCAATTATATGGTGCTTTTTTTTTGTTGTTGTTAAACTAGACTCACAGATTTGCCTATTCAAATACAAATTCTATATAAATATAGATAGACATTAAAAAGCAAGATAAAATTACATGATCACAGTACAAAAACATAAGGATAAGGTAACTGTGGGAAAACAATAAAGATAACACATTTGCTTGTTTGCAATATAAAAGATCTAAAATATTAATATACAGCAATATTCTCTGCAATTTGAAAAAACACTAATACTGATATATTTAGCCAGAGCAATGAGATTCAGTGGGTTTCATTGTATTTTAAAACTCTTACCACAATGCTTTCTATACTGTGATTAGTAGATTTGGCTCTAAATTCGAGTATTTGGTTTTAATGACCAACTTAAGTGAAAAAAGTGCCCTTGCAGAACTGTTTAAGTCTGACGGCTTTCTAATTTCTGGGGTGGGAGGTCTGAATAGAGCCCAGTGTTTTGAACATGTTAGGAAAGAACCCTGTCACTGTGATGGCTAATGTCAGTTTTCCACTTGACTTACCTGGGAAGAGGGAGCTTCAGTTAAAGAATCCTCCATCACCAGGTGGTGATGCCTTGGGAGGCAGAGGCAAGCAGATCTCAGTGAGTTCGAGGCCAGCCTGGTCTACAAAGCGAGTTCCAGGACAGCCATGACTGTTACACAGAAAAACCCTGTCTCAAAAACCAAAAAAAAAAACCAAAAAAAAAAAAAAAAAGAATCCTTCATCAGGTTAGTCCGTGAGAACGTCTGTGGGGCATTTTCTTGGTTGATGTAGAAGGGCCCAGCCCACTGTGGGTGGTGCCGTCCCTAGACAGGCAGTTTTAGGCTGTATAAATAAGCAGGCTGAGCAAGCCATGAGGAGCAAGCCAGTAAGCAGTGTTCCTCTATGACGTCTGCATCAGTTCCTGCCTCCAGCGCTAGAAGCTAGAAGCCTAAGCTAGGCATCAGGCCAGGGATGTGGCTCAATGGCAGAACACTTGCCTAGCAGGTGTGTGACCCTGACTTCAGCATACAGCATAGCAAAACAGGACAAGATGGGTCTCTCTTGGCTTGTTCCAATCAGGGTCACTGGGTGGCAATTAGTTCTTTTTTCCTGGACATCCCGAGGCTCACAGATCTCATCTTTCATCTTCTAAATCAGCAACATTGGGCTGAGGCCTCATGTAGCCACCTCTTTCTCTTCCATTTCCACATAGAAACCATTGAGATATGCCCAGTGTGACTGCACACACCTTTAATCCCAGCACTGGAGAGGAAGGACAGGTGGATCTCTGGATCAAAGCCAGCCTGGTCTACACAGTGAGTTCAAGAACAGCCAGGGCTACACAGAGAAACTCTATCTCAAAACAAATGAGAGAGAGAGAGAGAGAGAGAGAGAGAGAGAGGACCACACGATGACGGTGGGTCCACCTGATGATGCAAGAGAAGCATCGCAGATCAGGGACCATGATGAGTAACTTTGATCCGACAGTGATTTGAACTGACCTTTTCCATCTAACATATTTGGTTCTCTGGATGTAAACAACACTGAGAGGCAAGGTCCTCCTCTGGCTGGTACAAGCTTCAGCCTTTTCTTTCTTCCAGCATGAAGATTCCTGGGGAAATTCCAGTTTCTTGGAGACCATTTTTTGCAATTATTTCTGTACACAAAGAATATCTTCATTCCTGCCAGGGGAGGAAAAAAAGCATTCATACACATTAAAAACAATAAATTATTTTTTAATTTTTAAATCACTTTTAAGTTATTAAAAATAGTTTCAAAAGCATATTTCTAATAAAAGATTAGTGTCTAAAACAATAACTAAAATAAAAATGATTAAAACATAAGCAAAAGACTTAATAAACATTTCTCCAAAGAAGAAACACAAATATCAGTAAGTGTATGAAGAGCTAAGGAAAGGGAAAATTGGGGCATTATGGTTTAGTCAGTATGCAGTTTTGGTTTATCTTGTATGTATGTGAGAGAGAAAGGGTCTCACTATTTTGGTCAGAATGGTCTAGAACTCCTGGACTCAAATGATCCTCCCACTCAGTCTCCCGAGGACCTAGAACTATAGACAGAGATGCGTGATGATGTCCAGCTTCAGAGTTCCAATTTCATAGGATAAGAAGAATATGGAGATGAAAGGTGGTATGTTGGTTTTCATGGTTGTGATACTTGAGCAAACAACTTTAAAGGAGAAAGGACTTGTTTTTGGCTCACAGTCTCAGAGATGTCAACCCATGGTTGGCTAGTGCCATTGTTTCTAGTCCTGTGGTGAAATGGTACTTTATGGTGAAAGGGTGTGGCAGAGTAAAACTACTCACTTCATGGCAGCTAGAAAGTAAAGAGACACAGAGAGAGAGAGACAGAGAGAGGAAGGAAGGGCCTGAGGACAAGATACGCCCTTCGTAGGCTTGATCCCAGGAGCCACGGACTCTGACTCGGCCCCCTCCCTGTTTAGTCAGGAACTCATCAAGGCAAAACTCTGTAGATGATGCTAGCTTTCCCCCCAATAGCACCGCTGCTGTGACCTTTTGGAGGACACTTCACATCAAAGTATAACACCAGGGATGCTCCAGGAGAGCCAGACAGGCCCTGCTCCTGTCCTGGCTCTTGTGGAAGAGTAAGCAGAAGAGGAAGGCAGCCTTTGATTCTAGGAATGGAAACCTCGGGTGAGTCCGCAGTTCACGGGCTGGTCAGGATGTGAAGTTCTCGGTGCACTTGAAGCCCCCTTGCAGTAACTTTTTCTCTGACGTTCCTCAGTGCCAGGGTCGCATCTGTTCCTGCAGGGCCAGCTATCAGCTACCCTCCCCCATCACATTTGCCCTAAGATTTGTGATTAAAGGTGAAGCTATTGGAGCCTGGGATTGAGGAATCAAATTCTCCAGTCCCAGAGTTGTCTTGGTCTGTGAGGGGCACATGGCGAAGGGTAGTTTCCCTTGAGCAAGCCTATAAACCATAACACACTGTGGCTCCTGGGCTGGAGTGGACCCTTGAAGGGCTGGGGGTGGCGGGGGGAGGAAGGAGGGTGGAAAAAATGAAGAGACAGGAAACTGAAGCACAAGATAGAGAAACAGATCTAACATCCCCCAGGTGCGACCACAGGGTTGTGACATTTCACCGGCAGTGTGGAAACAGCGTGAAGCCCCCAAATGAGACGTGTGCTTGAGATAAGTCACCAGCGAAAGAATGGGGGAGTTTAACGGTCCGCACAGCTCAAGTGCAGAGACTCCAGCATCCTCAGTCAGATTTCCCAGAGGAGCTGGTCAACAGCCTTAAAATGGCCCATATAGGGCCCCACTTTTAATCCCAGGTGCCCTAAGCCATGAGGGGTGCTGGTTCAGGTGCCTGAGGACACCAGTGACCAACCCAGCCAGAAGGAAGGATCACAAATGGAACTAGGTCAAGCAGGAGAGATGGCAAGGGTCTTGATGGGCAGTAGGTCATATCTGTGTCACGGGCTGGAAGGATAAAAATGGGGTTAGGTCAAGGAGGAGGGTTGGCAACGGTCCCACGGGCAGTGGGTCACATCTGTGTCACAGGCTGGCATGAAGAGGAAAGGAAATCTGGCTGGATTGACAGCTCAGCAGGAAAGCACAAGGACCTGAGTGTGATCTCCAAATCCCATGTTTTTAAAAAGGCTGGGTATGGTGGGCGACATGTATTCATCGCAGTGCTGGAAGAGTGGGAACAGGAAAAGCCAGGGTTTGCTGGTCAGCCAGCCTCCTCTACTGGCCAGTGAGAAATCCTACCACAAAATAATGATGATGATGATAGCAATAATAATAATAATAATTAATAATAATATAGTAAATGTGCCTGAGGAATGAAAACAAGGCTGTCTCTTGACTTCTACACACACGCATACACCTGAGCACCTGTACACACGTGCACACACACAGGGACAGAGGGGACACTGACCTTTAATTATAAGCAATGCTGGAGTAGCTTGTGGTCCTAAAACCAAACCTCAGTTAGGCAAGGCTGGTGGTCATCACGACTCGTCCCCTCTCTACAGGCAACAGCTTGCTGCATGTGTGTTGTGTTCAGGGCTGGGGATATCGCTCAGATGGTAGTGTTTGCCCAGGATGCAAAAAGCCTTGGGTTCAATCCCTAGCACCACATAAACCTGGTATGGTGGCACACCCCCATAACATCAGCCCCACTCAGAATTCCAAAGTCACCCCCAGCTACAAAGCAAATCTGAGGCTGTCCTGGGATATACAAGCCCATCTCCCAAAACTATGTTATGTTTAGTTGTGTTACCCCTCCTGCAATGGGGGTGTTTTACGGCACTAGTTTTATGCAGCATCTGAAAACGGTGGGATTCTGAAACCAATCTGACCCCATGAACTTCAGAAGTAGCCTGTGGTCTGCCTCCTTTATTTCTTTAAACCGGCCATCTCTGACAGGGATGTGCGTGAGAGAGGAGACATGCCAGGAACAGATGAGGGCATCTAATGTCCAGCCCTGTGGACAGCACCCTCTCCTGTAAAGGCAGCAGATGCAGATGCGTTAGCCACCGGCTTCTTGAGAGAGGGTGGTGGAAGCCAAGGAGGGCACGTGTCTACGAAGAAGAGCAGAGCTGGGTTCGCCCCTTCGGTCTCTCTAGGGTGCGGAAAAGAAAGGGGGTGGAGGCTGCTGGGAGGAAAAAAAACAGCCACAACTGCCATCAGAGACTGGCTTAGCCCCCAAGTGGAGGCACTGTGGCTGCTGCCCAGAGCACAGAGGAGGCACCAGAGCCGAGGGAGGCACCAGCAGCTGGGGCTCAGAAAAGATCTCCCTAGGCAGGAGCCATGGCTTGGCCACCTCCCTACTGGCTCTGCCTGCTGGGGACCTTGGTAGGGCTCTCAGCTACCCCAGCTTCCAAGAGTTGTCCAGCCAGACATTATTGGACCCGGGGAGGACTGTGCTGCCAGATGTGTGGGCCAGGTAAGAATGGACCTCAGCAGGGCTGGGGAGATGCCGTTTAAGATGAAGGGAGATGCATGGGGTAAGACTGAGCTCAAGCCAAGTCAGGCAGGCAGCCCTGGAGGAATCACCTTGCCTGGGCCTTGATTCTGGACCTTCTGCTCGCAGGTACTTTCTTTGTGAATGACTGTAGTCAGAACAGAACAGCTGCCCTGTGTGGCCGGTGCATACCAGGTGTCTCCTTCTCTCCAGACTACCACACCCGTCCCCACTGCGAGAGCTGCAGGCATTGTAACTCTGGTAAGAGGGACAGGATGTGCAAAAGGTGACACCGAGCGAATCCGGGGCTGCAAGGCTGGCGGAGCTGGTGTGGAGAAGCCGGAATCTGGGTTGGAATCAGAGAACTTCAGCAGCGTCAAGGCTCATGGAAAGTGGAGCCAATGCTGAAGCATGGTGTGCCTATCTATCTAGTATTTTGTGGAAGATATATAGATTTGAAGGGTCAGTGAGAAGGACTCTTACATAGGATTCAGACAATAAAAAGGGTGATGTTGCCAGGTGCAGTGGCACCTACCCATAATCCCAACCCCAAGGCAGGGCAGGTGGAGGCTGGAGGATCGCTTGATCACGGGAGTTCAAGGCCAGCCTGACCCTGTCTCAAAATACAAAAAGGTCAACAAGATGGTTTAGCGGGCAAAGGTACTTGCCAACTACTAGCCTGGCAGCCTGAGTTCATGCCCTGGGCCACATGGTAGAAGAAGGAAAGAACCAACTTGTAAGTTGTCCTCCGAGCTCAGATGTGGGCATGAGTCCACACAGAAGTGGAAAAAATATAATTTGCCTTGGATGGTGTCACACGCCTTTAATCCCAGCTCCCAGAAGGCAGAGGCAGAGGCAGGCAGATCACCGTGAGTTTGAGGCCAGTCTGGTCTACAAAGCAAGTTCCAGGAAAGCCAGAGCTGTATTGGAATTCCAATACACAAAAACACTGTATTGGAAAAAAAAAATTTTAAAAAAAAGGAAGGGAGGGAGGGAGGGAGGGAAAGAGAGAGAGAGAAAGAGAGAGAGAGAGAGAGAGAGAGAGAGAGAGAGAGAGAGAGAAAGAAAGAAAGAAAGAAAGAAAGAAAGAAAGAAAGAAAGAAAGAAAGAAAGAAAGAAAGAAAGAAAGAAAGAAAAAGA